TTCAAAATTCCAATCTTCATTCTGCTGTTTTATCCAAATGGGCGAGCAAATTAGAGCAACCCAGACCGGTGCACGAAAGTGCATGCTTAATGGTTGTAAGAGCTGAACATCAACTGATTTATCAGTCCTACCACGAACCGGCGTGGCCTAATTTGGACCCATACATTTTGTACGAGTCGACGGCGTTCAGTCAGCAATACACAGTTGGAGCCCCTGATGTTTGTCAGTTCGAATAGACTGAACCCAAATCATACTTAATTCAACCGGGGCTTTTCCATATTTATTAATTTCTGTGTGTATGTGTGTTTGGAAGAGAGAGACAGAGAGAAAAAAGATGACTAATTACTACTCAGGTTGAGAAGCGCAACCATTCCGTATGCCGTGAACGCATATATTAACTACCACGGTTAGCCCGTAGAAATACTCTCCGATGTAAGGCAGTTACAAAACTAGCATAACCACTGCTGCGGCAGTTGCTGTTAATTATCCCGTGCAAACGAAGTTTTAAACAAAAAGATTACAAAAATAAAATAAACGCGAACGCAAATCGATTCCATTTATTTTCCTAATTAGACCTCGATCCGAATTCGAATGTCTGTGTGTGTGTGTGTCTGTGTGTAACGCATTCGCTCACACCCGTCGACCTTCCCCGCTCCACGTGTTTCCGGAACTTCGATATCGGTCACAATGGTGCAATCAACCACTTGGTTGGTGTACTGTGTGTGAGGGTAGGGGGAACCGGGCATGTTGTGCAATGTGTGCTAATGAGTTACGTCCGGGATCATTCGAAACTATGTTAGCACTGGGACTGGAAATTAATGCTTGCACTGAGAGACAACCCCACACACGGCTCCCTCTGTGCGTGTGTGTGTGTGTGTGTGTACAATGAGAGGGTGAGGGCAAACGTTTATCAGCTGGAGTTGGCTCAGTGTCCAGAATCCCTGCTGCGGTTTATCACTGGGCCGCAAGGGGATGGGAGAAATCCAATGCCCGTAATGGACACTGGCAAGGATGATACAGCAGAAATCGCCTCTGTGTGTGTGTGTTCGCTCACGAGCTCATTTTCGGCATATGAAGTAGGGTTCATTTACAGAAATGAGCACACACACACACGCGTATATATATAGAGAGAGACGACTGTATTTGGTTAAGCATGTCCGAAAGCTCATTCACTGTTGTTCATGGTCTGGTATGCTGATATTATTGGTCTTTCTGGTAATTCTGTTAACCATAATGGAAGAGTGGTGAGACAACTGTAGGTGTACCTGTTAACTGTTGACAAATTATTGAAAATCGGTTCTCGTGACTCCGGTGAACTGAATTCCGTTTCGCCCCGAGCAATTGGCAATTTGTTTGCAAACGATTCATCATCACCAGCCTAGGGTGACATCATCATCAGTGTTTGTGAAGTGACCGTTTGCAAACAAATTGCCAATTGCTCGGGGCGAAATGGTACCCGTTAACTATAAGAATGTTGATCTTTCACTCTCACTGAATATCCAATTACACAATCAATTTTCAAGTGAGCGGTGCCGACCGATTAATGCCTTGCCGTGCTTTACAAAGCTGTCGACAAGTTAGATAGCCACAGGGAAGGTGGTGGTGGTTGTGGTGGTGATGGTGATGGTGGTGGTTGTGGTGGTGATGGTGGTGGTGCTGGTGGTGCTGGTGGTTGTGGTTGTGGTGACGGTGGTGGTGGTTGTGGTGATGGTGGTGATGGTTGTGGTGGTGATGGTGGTGGTGGTGATGGTTGTGGTGATGGTGGTTATGGTGGTGGTGGTTGTGGTGGCGGTGGCGGCGGCGGCGGTGGGATTCAAAACACACGATCGGATACTTGCTGATCCACACCACCCTTCTGGAATCCTAACACACACACACACGCACCTGCGGTAAATTGCACGACGCTGTCCTGAATCCAGAG